CAGGAAAGCTCGTATTTTACGGGGAAGAAAGAGGGAGGGAAGGAGGGAAGGAAGAAAGGAGGGAAGAAAGGAGGAAGGAGGAAAGAAGGGAAGGAGGAAAGGAGGGAAGGAAGGAAAGGAGGGAAGGAGGAAGTATGGAAGGAGGAAAGAAGGGAAGGAGGGAAGAAGGGAAGAAGTAAAGGAGGGAAGGAGGAAAAAAAGGGAAGAAGGGAAGGAGGGAAGGAAGAGAGAAGGGAAAACGGAAAGAAGGGAAGGAAGAAAGAAGGCAAGGAGGGAAGGAAGAAAGAAGAGAAGAAGGGAGGGAGGGAAGAAGGAAAGGAGGGAAGGAAGAAAGAAGGGAAGAAGGGAGGGAGGGAAGAAGGAAAGGAGGGAAGGAAGAAAGAAGGGAAGAAGGGAGGGAGGGAAAGAAGAAAGAAGGGAAGACGGGAAGGAGGGAAGGAAGAAAGATTGGAAGAGGGGAAGGAAGAATGATGGAGGAGGAGCAGAAGAAGAAAAGAATGAAGAGTGAGTGAGGAAGGGAGGGAGGCGAAAGGGAGAGAGGGAGGGAAGGAGAAGGAGGGAGGGAGGAATGAGAATGAGAAGAAAAGGTGTAGAAGGAGTGAGGGTGGAGGTGGATGAGGAAGAAGAAGAGGAAGAAGGGAAGAAGAAGGGTAAGGATAAGGAAGAGAAAGCGGAGAAGAAGAAGAAGAAGAAGATATTAGAGGAGGTGCTGGTGGAATTGGAGGTGAAGTTGAAAGTGGAAGAGGCAGGGAGGGAGGAAGGGAGGAGGAGGAGGAGGAGGAGGGGGGGGGAGTAGGAGAAGGAGGAGGAGAAAGAGGAGGAGGAGCAGCAGCAGCAGCAGCAGGAGGAGGAGGAGGAGGGGGGAGTAGGAGAAGGAGGAGGAGAAAGAGGAGGAGGAGGAGCAGCAGCAGGAGGAGGAGGAGGAGGAGGAAAAGAAACATAAGAAAAAGAAGGATGAAGAGGGCGGGAGTGAAGGTAGGATAGGAGAGGGAGAGAGAGAGAGAGAGATATGAGAGAGAGAGATATGAGAGAGAGAGAGAGAGAGAAAGAGACAGAGAGAGAGAGAGAGAGACAGAGAGAAGAGAGAGAGAGAGAAGAGAGAGAGAGAGAGAGAGAGAGAGAGAGAGAGAGAAGAAAGAGAGAGAGAGAGAGAGAGAGAGAACAGAAAGGGGAAAAAAAGGCCAAGGAAATGGCCGATAATTTCCACCGTCGATACAAGATAGGAAAAAGATGTTCAGGCTACGTTGCACTAAATAGAGTTACCGTCTCGCATTTTCCGAAGGTTGGGGATAGCCAAAATGAAAAGAGAATTGTAGGACAGAGAGGGAAGGAAGGAAAATGAAATCGTAATTATGTTTTATTTTTATGTATCTATTTATTTCTTGTGTAGTAGAAATGGGTATCATTTTTATTTTGTATGTTGATTATTTTTGTGATATGGCTGATATGAAAAAAAATATGAATATGGTACTGAATCTGCTTTCAGTGATAGTGACCCTAATGATGATAGCGGTAACGATGTTGATAGCAGTGATTAAGGAAAGTGATAGTAGATATAATGTTACAATAATGATGTTACAGGCCGTTAATTAATCTTAGGTAAACCACTTTATGTCAATAAAAAATAAATAAATGAAAACGTTGAAAATAGTTAAATGCAAAAGCATACGCTGATAACAGTAATGAAATGGTTTCTTGTAAATAAAATTGTCATGATATAAAAAGTGTGTCAGCGAAGTAAATCTTTGTTTTATTTATTTTTGTAATTGATGGTATATATGGTATTTTCCATTTGTGGCTGCCTATACATGTATGTATCTTATCTGTATTTTTACCTATCTCTTTCTCTCTTTATATACCATACATGTAAAGAGATAGAGATAGATATGCCCGCGTGCATGCTTGTTTTCATTGTGTTTGATAGCGAGAAAATTACGATAAAGAAAAGAGAAAAATAAGAGACCAACATCCACAGGAGAAAAAAATATATATATAAATACAAATTTCATACTAAAACGGAATTTTACGAGAAGGAAAAAGGTAGAAGAAAAACAAACAAACAAAAAGGACGGTCAGCGTTACGCCACTTTTGGTATCACGTGACCAGCCGGTGGCACTGGTGGGCGAAACAACAACATTCACTCCTCGCTGTGCATAGTAACAACGTGTTCGCTGTGTTGTCAAGCTTCTCGTTGTTCAATATTTTGTAAATACGTTCAGTGTACATTTTAGGTTGTTCATATTCAAGATGGTTAATAGCTGTATAGTCACTGGACTCCGACCCTCGTGGTCCCCGTCGCGCGGTCGTAAAAATGCCTGCGCTTCGACTGCTGGCTCGAGTCCGATCTCACCGGCGAGAAAGCGACATATCGCCTTGAGGGGTCAAGGGGAAGTCGCCGTAGGGGAAGTCGCCGCCGTGACACAGGTGTTAATAGTACCGAACCGCGGTTGATTAGGAAGGGCATCCAATCAGGTGATCGCGGTGCAGAGGTAGCACGATCAGCGGAAGAGCTACGACGCCAAAAGACAATGGTTGCAGAAATGCAAGCAGAGGATCCACTGGTGAGAGAGATGGTGAACTCTTCAATCACCCAAAGGAAGGCAACGGGAAACCACCTTCGTACACTCCCTTGTACAACCATGGAATTAAACATGGTCGCCAACGTCAGCCTCTGATACGGCACTTAAGGTGACAT